CTCGATAACGTGTATAAGATGTTTCTAGGCGAGTTAGTGGAATTTGACAATTTTATAGAGAGAATCATATTTTTTGTGAGATAGCATTTTACACAACATTTAAATGGATATTTTTCACATAGGAGATAACAAATGCGCGACGCCGTAATGTCGTGCGTTACAGCGCCTTAACTTGAAGGGAACCTACGAACAGTTTCAAAGATAAGGAATCAAAAGCAGGGACGACATTGCGATTATTTAGCGAGAACAGCGTTATGTATATGTATAAGTGCTCTACCAAACTCTCCGATTAGGCTCGAGCGCCTAATTCGGAGGGGCGAACATCAAGCGTGTGCAACATTACACTTCCATTGTCCCATAGTTTGCATCTGTTTCTCGGGGACGCGACTTCTCCCCAAAATCCGACCCGCGCACATATGTCATCTTCGTAAACGTAATCATTGTAATGTAAAATGCATTTTTACGAACAGTGCCGAAGACAAAATGTTTCAAAACTAGAAGTGGCTTGATCTGGAATAATTTGTATCGTAGAATTTAATTTACGCTTGCAGGACAACCATTTTTTAATAATACATTTCGTAAATCTTGAACGTTTTGGCACAAGATTTTTTTTAAGTTTCTAATTATTCTCAGAAATCTGTTGTTAATGAATGTCACATAGTACTCGTAGAACATCTTGCATTCCGATTTAAAACAAGTATTGACATAAAATTATATTTTTTATATATGTTTAATATTATAAATGATGAAGTTTGACGAAAAGATTCGTGAATCAAGCCATTTCTACCTAATAGGCCGTCTCTATATTTAATAAAAAGATCTTTTTTGCTCGTTTTTTTAATACAATAATGTCTCCTTCCAAAAATGTAGGAGGCACAGACATTTAATTGCCAGGGACGTTTGTGTTTTGACCTGTCACGCACCGCGAGTCGCGCTTCTACGTGTTTTGATTTATACGTATACGTACATACATACATACACAACACACACACACACACACATCGTATGTGTATATGTATGTATTTCCATGTATATGTATTATTCTTTTTATTTTTATTCATAACGATCTCTAAGATCTATAATGAGAGAGAATTGTAGTTGTATATTATCGCTTATAACTATATATATAATTTTGATTCATAAGAATTCACATATTAGTGATTAGTCCGTACTCGCGGTAGAATGCCAAAAACAACCAAAACATATTCATGAATTACGAGAAACTTTTTTTAAATACAGATCATAAATATTATCGCGACGTACTAAAATTTATCATGAAACCATCAATAAGTAATTTCTGTGGGAATTCCTCGAATTATGTTAATTTTATTTGTTGAGCGTAGCGGGCGCTTTGTTGGAAATCATATTATTTAAAATTATTATATGAATATGGTTATTATTTAATATCTAATATATTGGATATAGATATTAAGTTATTTTGCGAGAGTATGGTAAGGAAATAGACGAGTAGAAGAGAGCGCGCGCGTGTTTATGGCTGTATGTATGTGTATGCATGAAAGGAAAACGAAAGAAAAGAGAGGATAAACGACGAGCATTGTTATAGATAAGAGAGTAAATCGAAAATACGATAGAAAGAAAGATGAGAGAGTGAGAGGAGGAACGATGATGACATGTGAGAATTTTCGCGATACCAAAACATTCTTTCACGTGCAAAAATCTTTTTCTTGCGATTCGAAATGCGTCTCGTAATGTATCCGGATAGTCCTCGATGAGATGCGCTCGACGTATTTCATAAGGGATCGACTTAGTCTTACGTAAAACACCGTGAAAACAATACAAATGCGTGGATTTCAACGAACGCCGCTCCAATCGAGTGCTGAAAAATGCTCCATGAGTCCTTACACAACGCACTTCTTCTTACCTCCGTGTGCACATATCGGGACCGAGAGGGATAGACGCCCCCGTCAACGTCTAACACGAAAATTCCAAAGAGACAACACTCCGCAAGGGATACGAATCGCGGCGCTCGTCGGTAATCCACCAGATTCTTGCGTAATCTTTTTATATAAATAGTTTTATATTCCTTTGTAACGCGCAAAAAGGAGAAAAGAGAAAATGGGTGCGGAAGAGATAGTTTTTTCTACAGGGAAGAAAACGGTAACGAGTACGAGGAGAAAAGGTGATATAGGCGGAACAATAAAACATACCGGAAATATATCAAGAAAAGGATAGAAGATTGAAAGAAAACGGGGAAAGTTATACACTTGTGCGTGACTGTGTAGTGTCACCGAAGCGAAGCGTACTCGTGGGATCATTGAAATGAAACAGGCGGACGGATCGTCTGTGTAAATATTGTGTATTCGCATATGTGTAATACCTAAATGAAAAAGAGAAAAGAAAGAAAGAGGCGAAAAGAGAGAGAGAGAGAGAGAGAGAGAGAGAGGTGCGGCTCCGTCGAGCCGCGTGCGCGCACGGTGCGGTTGTAATTTACAGGAACTTACCTACCTAACGACGGTTAACATGGGAACATTGCACACACAATGCATATCCTCTGTTCATTTTACGTAGCCGACGAACTTTTTCCATCAAGAGCGTGAGCAGTGAGACCTTTTAGTCGTTTGTAAGGGTGCGCGAGGCTTGCGCTGCCTCCACTCCCCGCCCGCCCCGCACCCTCCTTGCATCCGCTTTAATCAAAATGCAACAAGTGTCGGCCGTGCGCGCTCAACGAGATCGGGTACATCGTACAGTCGCGCCGTTGTCATATCGCTTGCTACGCCGATTACGAGCGTGACGTGCAAATGATTTGGCTCATATTGAGTCAAACTGTATTTATTCGTCATGTTAATTCTTAACTGTTAAGGCGTAAAGGGATCATGTACGAGATAATTAATAATTCATACCTCGATAATAAGAGGAAAAAATATTAATATTTTTATTACTTTTTAATGCTTATGTGAAAAATAGTGATTTTTTTATTTATATATTATACACGTGAATACGTTATATACGTAATTGTTTTTCAAAATAAAATATTAGTAGAAAGACGAGATCAGTTAAATTTTCAAACTCGATTTCGTTAGATTCTAATTTTATTTGAATAAGAAATAAATAACAATAAATAAAGGGCAAACTAAGAGTCAAATACATTTTTTAAATAGTCACACAATTAAAAGGAATAAATTACAAATAAAGAAAAGTCGAATTGAAAAAAATATATAATAAAAAAACTCAGTTTATATAAATTCAAATATAAAACGTAGCAGCGAGTGCGACCGCCGTAAAACGCACTTCATTAGGATCATGTTCCATGTATTTCTTGCACACGCGAGCGACATCATCGAGAAGTGTCTTCAGTATAGTTGAACCGTGATTGATAGGTGCAGATTTTCGACCGTCCAGCTCGATATCCAGGAAATCGTCTTTATGGACAAAGGCGACAAAGTTATGGTACATCTCCACATCTTCCGCCGGTGCCTCGGTCTGTCCTTCCTTAGAGATTCCATATGAGTATCAATGATGTCTTGCGCTTTTTCTAAATGTTCGCCACGTTCTATATACGAAAGTCCTTTGATTTCTTCTAAAAACTTTTTAAAAAAGCCATCCTCCAGCTGTATCACATCCAAATTATTCGCCACATTGTGAAGTAATGCAATTGTTCCACACGCATTCGAAATAGATTGCTTTATATGATAAATTCTGCATCAATTTTGCTTATCTATCCTTAGCTTCTGTTTGCTCTTCGTTAGTCTTTTCAATCTTTGAAGAAATAGAATAAAGTAAAATGATGGCACAGGTTTAGGGATGATCGCCAACAATTCCGACTCTAAGCCGTATACATCTAAGATCGACCACTTCTTTGAAACACCTAACTTGTGGAGGAATTTTGTCATAATCTCTGAATTCGACTCCAAGGGCACCCAAGCCATGTTAAATATCTCATGATATCTTCCACAAGAAATTCCGTTTCAAAACGCCGGTAAATGTCTATCCGATTTATTCTTTAACGAGCTGATCTTCTCACATTTCGTTTCATGTCCTTGTTCACAAAGTCGACTAAATAAGTGTGTTTTACGGCGATCGCACTCGCTGCTACGTTTTATATATGAATTTAAACTGAATTTTTTTATTATATATTTTTTTCAATTTTACTTTTCTTTATTTATAATTTATTCCTTTTAATTGTGTGACTATTTAAAAAATGTGTTTAACTCTTACTTTGCGCTTTATTTATTGTTAGTTATTTTGTATATGAA